CAGTTTACCATGACCTCGGTAACATCAATTTGACTTTCTTCACAACCAGAAAAAAATACGAGCGAATGGAAAACCTGAAACTGGTTGTTAAGGCACTGAAAGCCTTGCGCCCCCAGTTAGACATACATGTCACTGACAGATATGACATCTTGCTAGATAGGCACTACAAAATCTCAGGTACTGCTGCAAAGCTGGGAGGGACAAGTGCTTATCACCACTGTACCTTACTCTGTAACGCAGATAAGTTTGTTTTATCTTCTGTGCTAAAAAGTCCTTATAAAGGGCTAAAGAGCAATGCCACTCCTAGTGTGCCTGCCTCGGTGAAAAATCTCTTTGAAGAGGATCCTAGTTTAACTTCTGAGATGCTCCTGGATGCCATTGCTAAGGAATATGCTACACAACACCAAATAGATCATCATATCACCTTAATAAACCCAGCTGATGAGACTCTGCTTCCTGGAATTAATAATAAAACTAAAGAACTACAAACCTGGGAGTGGGTGTACGGAAAGACACCAAAGTTCAGCGTTAGCACTTGTCTTAACATGGCCTATAAAGATTCTGTTCTTGACATTAAAGTAAATATGGATGTAAAGCATGGAAGGATTGAAGTCTGTAACATCGATCTGCCGGAGCAGTGGCTGCCACCAGCACTGTACAGCAAACTGGTCAAGAGCCTTACTGGCAGTAAGTTTTGCCCAAACGAAACCACAACACTAGTGACAACATTGCTAAGAGTGTGTCCACAAGATGATGAGTTGCACAGCAGGTGGAATCTACTATGTGAGAATATGATAATGCTAATGTGACTTGCATTTTGAAAATGTAAGTTAAACTTCTGTTGCTTTTTTATTTAATGTATTAAAAACAAAATTAAAGCTGAATTTTTCTCTTACTAGTCCAACTGTTCAATCTTGTGCTTTTGTTTAATATTACAATTAAATTTCACACTGCCTGCACCCAATGTTCCCAAACTGTAGGATGTAAGCCACTGCTGACAAGACATCATTGCTGCTTAAATCAGAAATAGTGCAGGCATCCCAAATTTGCCCTGTAGCAGAGGAGGTACAAATGGCTGGCAGAGATGGGATGGGGTAGGCGAAAACTGGTGCTTTGCTGCTGCACTGGATGCCCCAGCCTGCACCCTGTTCCTTGGGGATTGTAGTCCAAAGGTTGTGTCTCAGCCCCTGAACTGTGTGGAGACAGATGTCCCCTGGTTTCTGGTTGAAAGTCCTTTCTTGCAGAATGCTGGTGCTGCTGTGCCTCCACTGTACAAGCATGGTATGTATGCTGAACTCACTGCTGTGTAATGAATCACTTTGACAGTTCCACCCTGGATTAGGGCTTTTTTGTCCATGCATGTGCAAGAGCAGGCAAAGGATTAGGAAATTCAGTGTGGGGGGTTGTGTGATGAGGGCAGGAGAGCTGTGCCTCCTTTGTTCCTACACTGCCTGGCACAAAGCTGGGAGTCCCTGCTGCCTTGGGTACTGGTATTTAAGCTAAACTTTAGGAGATACAGTTGCAAGTACAGATCTGGGAGAAACAGGTTGCCTTATGTTACAACCTAGGAGAAAATTTTCTAGTAAGAGACAATAGTGAACTGAAAATGACAATTTTAATGTTAAATAATAGTTCAATATAAAGTAAAATTATGAAAGAAAGGCTCAAGATATATTTCACTGTTGTTGTGAATAAGCAAAATGCAACTTTGATTAGGTCAGAACAGAAGCACATTATTACTACAGTTTTAGGAGAGAACCCAGTGCAGCAGTGACAGACTCCACTGATCTGAAGTCTCCAAATGAGGCAGTCACAGAGTTTATGTACCTTTATATTACACAACTCTTTCTTCAGCAAACTGCTCTTGAACAGTAGAGTTAGTTAAATTTGAAGTGGGAGGTTCATCAAGCAAAAAAGCCATAAATTCACCCTGTCAAGGTGTGAGCACATCAAGGTAAATTCCATTCAGCACAATATATAAGCACAACTCAATTTACCTAAGTCTTTTCCCAGAAGATTAACCAGGCTGGTAGGACTTTAAATAAAACCATGGTATCCAGAAATGAGACAGATAGTTACAAAGAGCTTGTTATTAGGTGACTTATGTGTTGCCCTGAAGTACCAATACCATTTACTACTTCTGTATATAAAGAAACTGCAGGAAAAACAGAGGTGGATATAAAGTGAATTGAGAAATGCCAGTATCAATTAGGCAACAAACAATCTTGCTATTAATAGGTCAAGATAAATAAGGGTCAGTCTGGCCTCAAGAAAGTAAAGGAGCAATGATGTTTATGTTCTTGGGCCTGTCCTAATCACATTTCTGAGCCTGTGGCATGAAGGGAAAGTTGGATGAAAAGTTAGCATAACTATTGGACAAAAACTTAGAGGACTTACAAGTAGGTCTGTAAGGACACATTGATTTCCAGTGTCCTTGTTGTCCATACAGAAAACCCTCAGCTGAAGCTCCAGTAAGGATTTCAAACTATCCCTTACCTTTCTGAGTGGCACCAGGGGGGTTTCAGCAGGGATCAGTCTGCAGTCCTGCCAGGCCATGCAGAACATGGGAATCCAAGTCATAGCACCGCATTCTGTCACGGAATAACTGGAATGCAATTTTGATCAGGTCAGAACAGCAGCAGTTAATTAAATAATGCTGCCCAGATGAGACAGCTGCAAATAGTCAAGAAGTGATGCCTGCAAAGGCCTATAAGGTGTTACTATGTTACTTCCCCACTGACACCTTTAAAAGATGACTGGTTGATCAGCTCCCATGAGGAGGAAATTACACGGCAGAAGTGACCTACATTTAGTTAAGGAGTGCAGTCAATGGGGGTGAATCCAGCCATCAGCTGGGACTGGTGGTAGGGCTGAGTGACACTCGGCCGAGCCCAGCAGGGAAGGCGGCTTAAGTTCATCTCCACAGATGATGCCAGGGGGGGCAGTTCTGGCTGCGCAATCCAGGTGATGATCTGACTGCATCAGTGTGAGCAGCAATACAGAAGAATATGGCTTGGAGTCTTATTGCAGAACTGTAATCTCAGATTTCTCTGGTAGTTTGTTGGGTTTTTTCCATTCCTTGATGCCCACTGCTCTTCACACATGGTGTTCCTACTGACAGCACAAGGAACTGTTCAGCAATAAAGGGCTTATAAGTAAAAATTGCAGTGCAGCACCAAGTGGTACGTCACTAAAGGCTTACTTGTACATGTGTACAGATACTGCATATCCATGGGATCTGCAAGGAAAGCTGTAGTCTTAGCTAGTGAATTATAGTTGAATTAGAAGAAAAAGCTCCTTATTTTGCCTCTGTACGTTTAAAATTGCTGAACTAGGTTAAAAGACACAAAGCTTCACATTTGGGCAGCTTACTGTATTTACAGTGAGCCTTCTCCCAAACACGGCTGGATCCATGAGGCATTACCCAGCTTCCTTGAGTTACTCTATGCAGCGAAGAAGTCAAACAGATGACTAAAACTACAAATAATAAAAAATATTGTTTATTCCCATTAAAAATAGGCATATATTATACACAAGTGAATAAAATTCACAACAGTGACTAGAAAACTAGTATCACAGCAGCAAGCCCAGGAGCTTCTATGGAATGTCTGGGGGAACAACTAGTAGCACACAGCTTTGTGGCACATATATTACTCATTTTGCTGATGTAACACTCCAAAGCTGAGACATTACTATGAGAAAGGATAAAGAAGGCAAATCACTGGCAAATTGTTACCCAGAAAATAAGGTAAAGACCAGCTCCATTTCTTCTTGATTTCTGTGGAATAGATTTGTTGTTATAGGCAAGAGGGAAAGAATAGCAGCATTAGATGATAGAAAATAAAATAATAAAGCACATTAAGGAAAGAAAAGTATAATAGAATACACCTATAAATATGCTACTAGAATACAGAGGCCTACTGTATTACAGGAGCAGAAAGCATAAGGCACCTATCAGTCCTGAGGCTAAAAAGATTTTGATGGGACCTGCAAAAGAGGCCACTGCCTGTTTTTCATGTCAGAATACATGACTTTGGTGATTCTTCCTAAGAAAGAACTCTTGTTTAAGAAGAAAAAGAAGCAGCAGCCCAGGTAATACCTTCTGGTTTCCAAAGGGTGAAGGAATGACAAGGAAAGCCTTTGTCTTTACTCCAAATAGCATATTCCTTAGAATCACAGAATACTCTGACCCACAAGGATCATCAAATCCAGCTCTTAAGTGAATGGCCTGTACAGGGATTGAACCTACAATGTGTTATTAACACCATGCTCTGACGAACTGAGCTATTCAGGGTATCCAACTTTTGGAAGAACTTAAAAATAAATTTTGGTTTTTTTAGGGGACTACCATAGTAGTAGGGAAAAATGCAGTTGAGACTGGCATGAGTAGCCAGCCACTGGACTTTAAAGTCAGAGAATAAGACTGGGAGAAGATCATACATCCTTTCCACACCTAATGCAAAGGATGGAAATCAGGTATATGACCATACATCATGGAATAAAAGAACATATAGGAGTGACAGGGAAGAGAATACAGCTGTTTTCAGCCTTCCTAGTCCAAAATCCATCATGCAGAGACACGTAAGACAACCCTAAAATGACTGTATACTGAACACTAAAACTCTTGCAGGCAAGAGGCTTGGAAAATGGAATGTTAAATTTGGGGTTACCAGTAAAGTCTGTGAAATAAGGTATTACGAGACTGACTAAAACCCACTAGAATAGTAGTCATGACTAGAATACAGGAATTAAAGGAAGTAAATAAGACTGCTTATAAAAGAGGACACGTGGCAGCCCAGCTTCCAATGTTTCTGAGGTGGTCAATTACAGATATAAACCCCAAAATTGGCTCAAGACAAAATCAGTAGTAAAAATAGAAATGACATTAAAGAGGCCTTTGAAAGACAATATTGAGGGTCTGTTACAAAATCAAGATAAAATTTAGACATGGATTGTATTAATTAAGATTACAGAAGAAGTACAGTGAAGGAATTTACAGTTGTGTTTTTCAGACTGAAAAGCCTCAAGTATTCTTAAACCTATAGATTATAAAAGCTATGCTGCACTAAGTACTGGGAAGAGTTGCTTCTGAGGGTGGACAGCTGGACTCAAGCAACGTCTTCCAGTCTTACATTTTTATGCTTATGAAAACACTTATTAAAAGCAGTCACATCTGATTACATTTTCTTTGTGTGTTTAGTGTGAAAGACATCCACTGTTGTTTCATGACAAGGTCGCAAGTCCAAGTCACAGTATCCGATGCTGAAACGACCCTGCAGAAATTAATAGAATTGACATGGTGAGCAAATACTGTAGAAGAGCCCATTCTAAGTTAATTAAAGAGGTCAAAGCATTTTTACCTGTGGTTTCTTAAAATAATCAAGACCCCTTCCAATCTTAATCATCCATCCATTGTTGAATCTGTTGTAAAAATTCACAAATTTGAATACTATGAGTATGTTGAATAAAAAAATAGTTACATCCACATGATGCCCAAGTTTCTTGTTTCAATCACAATTATTTCCTAGTGTCACCGATACCTGTGTCAACCACAGAAGATACAGCATAAAGAGACAACTAATATTATGTTCACAATTAGACAACATGAAACTATGGAGGCTGATTTTAACCAGTGAGGGCCACTGCCTTCTACTTTGTTAACCACAGTTGTAATTAATAGTTGTCTCAAAAGTTAGGGTTAAATAGTTTGACTTCCAATAACTGGAATTTGCTCATTTTTTATATCCTGCACCTGATTTCTCGATCATGTATTGAAGATGAAAATTCAATATTCAGTGTTACTCCATAATTCCTTAATGACTGTTGTATTTCTTCCAAGCCACTCATCTGCTGACTCCTCCCACTACCCTGTAAAAAATAAAAATAATGTGGTGGGGTTTGGATTGTTTTTTATTTTAATATATATTCACTTCTGGTCACCTCTTCCTAAACTCACCAACAAAAACTTTTTACAATCAAAGTAGATTTGCAGTTTCAAAGACAGGATAAAGAGCAGACAGATTACAGGTACATTTGCTAAGGGATGTGGAGGAGGAGCTTACTCTCAGCCCTTTGCAACTAGATATGAATTACTATTAAAAATAAGTGCAGTAATAGTTTAAATAAATGCAGTGCTAGTTTGAGAGATTACAGCTTGTTAAAACCTCTAAAATGACAACTAAATACAGCTGTTGGAAGAGCAAAAAACCCCATATCTCTATAGATGCTTTGCTTTTGATGACATTTTCCATAACAAAACTTTCACAGAAACATCTTTTCGATTTAAGACTCTGCTTACCAAGAATTTGTTAGGGTTATCAGAAAACTCTGAACTTATAAAATTACTTATGTTCAACTATCACATTTTTATTTTTCTCTTAAGTCTGAGTTTTCTGCTGAAATCATCAGAGATTGAGTCTAACAAGTTCTGGTAAGTAAGAACAAGTCTATATTTTTATTTTTTTTTTGCATGTGGCATCACCTGCCACATCAGTAGAAACCAAAATCTAGACACTTACCTCATCATAGGAGGTGAGGAGGTGGATTGTTTTCACTTTGCACGGCCCCTTAATTAGCATCTCACAGAATCGTAGAAAGTTATACAACTGTAAAAGTTTTATTTAATTTAGTAACTTGGAATGTCTCTAGGAGCTACATCTGTATTAGTTACACCAAGTATCTACTTGCCTGATGAATGTGCCTAATGTACGGGTCCTCCACCCAAACCTCAGAAACAACCTCAGTAAGGTACTCATGGAAAAGCTTTTCGTAGCCAAAACCCGTTGCGTTTTCCTCTATCCTGATTTGCTTATGGTATTTGCCATCTGAAAAGAAAGCAGGTCTCTGTTTAAGTAACGGTCAGGACATAATTTCTGTGTTAAAACACCTCACCCATCAAACATTTGCATCAGAACAGACATTTAAAAGCGAACGAACGGGTACATCACAGCTCACAGAATCACAGAATGGGTTGGGTTGGAAGGGACCGCAGTGGGTCATCTGGTCCAGCTTCCCTGCTCAAGCAGGGTCATCCCAGAGCACATGGTCCAGGATTGTGTCTAGACAGTTCTTGACTATCTCCAGCGAGGGAGACTCCACAACTCCTCTGAACAGCGTGTTCCAGTGCTTGGTCACTCACACAATAAAGAAGTTCTTCCTCATATTCAGGTGGAACTTCCTGGGCATTGGTTTCTGCCCATTGCCTCATGTCCTATTGCTGGGCACCACTGAGAAGAGCCTGGCTCCATCCTCTTGGCACCCTCCGTTTAGATTTTTATACATACCTTGCTTCTCTTTCTCGATGTGTTTTTTAATGTCTTCGGCTCTGGTCATGTACTCGGAGATCTTCTGCCGGTAGCGGTGCTTTTTTGCCTCATCCTTCGTGGCTGTAACCCGTAAAAGCACAGGGGCCATTAAAAAACTCTCCCCAGCACTTCCTGGCCCCGCTCTCCTGGGGAGACACCGCCAGCTGTCCCTCTCTTCTTCCCCGTGTGTCGACGGTCCTCTGCGCCCGACACAGCTCGAGTGTTCCTGGAACCGCCCCCGACGCCTGAGGCCGGGGAGCCCCCTCGCCCGGTACCTTTCACCACCTGCAGCAGGAGATCGATGCCCTCCTGGTAACACACCAGCGACTCCTGGAACCGGGATGCCACGTCCAGCTCCACTGCCCGCTTCACCGTCTCTGCCCCGGCCCGCTCCAGCGCGGCGGTGCCATCGCCCCCTGACCGCGACATGGACCGGGACCGGGACGACTACCGGGAAAGGGCAGGGAGCTGAGGGGGAGGATGGAGAGGGACGGTGTCTCACCCTTGTCCTTCCGCCCGCTCGGAACTCAAGTGCCGCGGCGCTGGTGTCCGGCCGAAAGAGGGGTGCGCACCGAAATGGCCGCCGGGGCGGTCCGGGCGGGCCTGGGGCTCGCAGGAGCCGGGAGGGTGAGGATGGGGAAATCTGGGGCGGGATCCAGGGGGGGAATCTGGGGCGGGATCCAGGTGGGGATCGGGGGGAATCTGGGGCGGGATCCGGGCTAGAGCTGGGGCACGCAGCCACTGAGAAGGTGGGGGATCCAGGTGGGGATCTGAGCTGGGACTCGCAGCCGCCAGGAAGATTGGGATCTGTGTAGGGATCTGCGCGGGGAATGGGGCTTGTGGCTGCGTCGTCTGTTTGCGAGTATTCAGAGCTGTAAGGAAAGTGCAGACGAGTTGTCCTCTCTTTGCAGCTGCTGGGAAAGAGGATGGAGGGGATGGTGTCCCCAGCCTGGGCTCGCTGTCTCTTTACCAGGTCGAGAATTCCAGACTCGGTATGTGCTTCAGTAATTGAGAAACTGAAAAAAAGCGGGTGTTAGCCTGCTAAATTTTGTGTTTGCTGCGGTATGACAGATTTCCAGAGATTCTGTGGGATGAGCGAGTTCACAGTGCTCTGGGTGAAGAACAGGCAGAGTGAAGAAGGTGAAGAAGGGTGAAGAAGGGCAGAGCCCAGAGGGTTGCAGTGAATGGGGTTGCATCTGACTGGTGACAGGGCAACAGCGATGTTTCTCAGGCTTCAGTTCTAGGGCCAGGTCTGTTCAAAATATTTATCAATGATCTGGATGCAGGAGTTGAATGCACAATTAGCAAGTTTGCAGAGAGATCTAAACAGATTGGAACATTGGACAATCATCAGTGGCATGAAATTTAGCAAGAATAAATGCCAGATACTGCACTTGGTACCAAGTGATAGCAGGCACAGGTATAAATGGAGACAGGAGCGGCTGGAGAGCAGTCCTGAAAAAAGGGATCTGGAGGAGCTGGTGGGCAGCAACTCAACAGGAGTCAGCAGGGAACCCGGGCAGGAGGGGGGTAAACCCCATCTTGGAGGGCATCAAACACAGCACAGCCAGACAGTCAAAGGCGGTGATTGTCCCGCTGTATTCAGCATTGGTGCAGCCTCACCTCCAGTGCTGTGTGCAGTTTGTGTGAGCCCCCCAATTTAAGAAGGACATGAAGGTCTTTGAATGCATCCAGAGGAGGGCAACAAAGCTCGTGACAGGGCTGGAATGCATGTCCTGAGAGGAGCAGCTGAGGACTGGCTTTGTCTGGTTCAGAGAGAAGGAGGCTCAGAGGTGACCTCACTGTTCTATGCAGCTTCCTGAGGAGGGGAAGCAGAGAGGGAGGTGCTGAGCTATTCTCCTTGAGATCCAGTGACAGTGTGCATGGGAATGACTTAGAGCTGCCAGGTTCAGGGCAGGTTCAAACTGGACATCAGGAAGCATTTCTTTACTGGGAGGGTGGTCAAACACTGGAACAGGTTTTCTAGAGAGGTGTTCAGCTGCCTAAGCCTGTCAGTGTTTAAGAGGCATTTGGACAATACCTTAATAATGTTTTAACTTTTGGTCCACCCTGATCAGGAGATGGACTACATGATTGTTGGTAAGTCCCTTCCAACTGAAATATTTTGTTCAATAAATAATTAAACCAAAGTGATGGGAAGTTTGACTTGCACTTTACATTTTTACATTTACATTTTTGCAAGATACCATCTTGTGTCAGTTCATACCTTTCCTTAAAAGCATTTTTAAGCCTGTGGAAAAATGTGCCATGCAGAGGCTGAGCACAGGCTCCCTGAGGAGATGCACATGAATTAGGTGTTGTGCTGGTCCAGTGTTGTCCATGTGTTTCTGTGAGTCACTATCAGCAAACCATTATAAAGATATATTTGACTTCATGTTATAAAATTTTGTTTCACTTTGTTGGTACTTTGACTGCCTGAAAAGAAAAACATGTAAGAATATTTACCAAGGTTGAAGTATGTTTTAGAGAGTAGCTGACTATAATATTAATTATCAGATATTTAGGAAAAAAACTTTTGGTTTTGTGAACTTTTCATTCTAGGTATTTCAGCCACGGCCTGGAGATCATGAGAAGTATGGAGGTGACCCTGAGCAGCCCCACAAAATCCACGTTATTACCAGAATAAAAAGTGTCGTTGGTCGCCCATATTGGGAAAAGAAGATAGTACGTGACCTTGGGCTGGATAAAGTATGATTGTTGTTCTTTGTACTTGTTGTATACATCAGAAATGGAGCATTAAGCTGGTTGGTTTTTTAAGGACCTCAACTTTGCAGTCACAAAACATAATTACATTTATAGCAGGTGAGGGAAATGTTCATGGCAAATGCGCTTTCAAAATATCCCTCTATGGTATTGTGCTGCATGCCTGAGGAGAACTTCACCCTGAGAATTCTGCTAAAATAATAGCAATAGATTTGTAAATACTTTGAATTCAGTTTTCTCTGTGGGTCGTGTTATTTAGATATTGCAGGAAGGCAAATAAGACTCGTTTATCAATGAAAAGGCTTTGAAGGCCAAGACTAAGAGTTTGTGTCAAAGATGCGTTTATCCAGGCTTTTCAGGCTAGCTGCACATTGTGCAAAGATTCATCTGGTCAGTGTTATATTACAGAGAATAAAATGTGTGCTTGATCCATTTAAGATGTAACTGAAACAAGCAGTTTTGCTCCTAAATTCCTATATTTACATTTATAGTGTTTTTAACAGCTGGAAGAAAAATCTATTGATAATGGAATGGGAATAAAGCTGAAATTATCATTTTACTGGAATCAAGTTTGATCCAGTTTTGATTTCACATTTTTATGTTCGTGATGCATGATGGTTCTCTAAATCTTACATTTGCAATTGTGGTTTATATTTTTACTGATAGTGTGAAAAGTTCAGTGAACAGAGATTTGGGATTTGACAACGCATTTGTAAAACCTGTTTTATCCTTTTTGTAGGCACATCAGCCAAGACTGCACAAAAATATCCCTTCCGTGAATTCCAGACTGAAAGTTATTAAACATCTGATAAGGTTTGTTAATTATTTGTTTATTTAGTTGTTTATTTGGAATATTTAATGTAACTCTCTTCTAGTCACAGGACTTCACTAAGCAAACTCTTTTGCCTGTAGAATAAAGCCACTGAAACTGCCCTATGGGTTGCCAACAGAAGAGGAAATACCCGGCACCTTTCTTGCACGCAACGGAGAGCTTGTCATTAAACGGCGTCTGAAACCTGTGGAGCAGAAAGAAATTGAGTCATAAGGTGTGCTGGTTGGATTTAGATTCTATAAAATAAATACTTTAAATTCTGAGTTAAGAGTTTGTGTATGAAATGTAAGAAAATTCTTAACCCTGTCTGGTATGAATGGCAGAGGTGACACTTAAAGAATTGTGTGTGTACAGATAGGAAATTCAATGTTGTTAATAGTTGCCTAAAATATTAAATGAATTATAGGCTGTCTGTGTTTTAATTTTGTGACTAGATTGCTGCAGTTTATGGCTAGCTGTAAGAGAACTTTATTTATAAAGTCAGATAAGCAGAGAAGTGAGTAGAATAGAGGTAGCTAATGATGTTGAGGATGTTTCCCAGCTAACAGTAAAGGTTTACAGTGATGATGCAGGACTTCACTTTCACTGCATAAAGGACAGAACTGGAATTGAAAAGCCCTCTGCTTAGTAGTCACAGGAGAATCGACTGGCTATCCACGGAGAGTGTCAGGCATTTGGATGACTTGGTTATCCAGATCTCAGGCTTGTTCCTTAGCAAAGAATCTCTCATCTGGCTTCTCCTGTAACTTAAAAAGTACATAAACTCTCCATTTGGACGTAACAGGAGTTATTCATATCTTGGTACGTTGTATAATCTGTCTTCCAGGAAACATGCTATCTCACTTCATATATATTCCTTAATCCTAAATGTACAATAATAGCCTAAGAGCTGCAGTTTATGTGAATGTTGATGCTTTTCCTGTTCTAAAATTGCAAACTTTAGAAGTCTGGAGCCCCTGAAGCATGCCTCTGACACGAGTTAGGAATTACGGGCTGCAAGCTTGTAAAAGACTACTCTGTGCGTAATTTTATTTACTGCTGCTGTATCAAATGATAAAGTAGTTTTCATTCCAGCGAGCCTAAATTCTGTGGTTTAACGCACTGTGAGCCTCTCCACACTAGACACACTGAAAAGGAGTTAATCTTAATGACTGTATGTTGTGAGAATATCAGAGGGATACAGTCGCTGAAAATGATTGTTTATCCTTTCCGCCTGCTTGCAGAGAAGGGTAAACACCAGTAGGAGTTCAAAGGAGTAGACAGACATATCAGTACAGGGAGATAAAAGCTGGAAGCACTGTGCACAGAAGGAAAAGGATAGGCTACAGTGGCATTGAAGAGTGTAATGGCCCCTACAGGCAGGCTGAAGGCAGAAATTAAAATTTCAGCTGAAATATAATAGCATGGAAGAAGTGAAGCAGATAAGTGAATGATGCTTTTCTTCCCTCCCTCCCTTCCTCCTTCCTTCCAGCATCTGCACAGCATCTTGTGCTGCAGTATGTTAGAACTACAGTCTCTGCAAGGTGTTGATCACGTTCCCACAGGAAGGTGCTTAGTACAAGCTGGAATTTGTTCCCTTTTGAAGGACGTGTGTAGCGCACCCAATGTGCAGGGCATGCTTGAAAGAGATGGCACAAGTACTAGGGCCCAGAAGATGATCTTGGATCAAATGGATCTTGTCACTGGTGGATAGCAAATAATAAGACTTGTGCCAGGACTGGAGTTCCAGAGCACTAGAGCCAGGATGGCTCAGCCTTACCAAGCAGGTTCAGGTTCGGGTCCATGGCACTGCAGGCTGGTGAGCCTCTGGCAGAGGACGCGCTGCTGGTTCCGTCCCACGCGGTGTGTGTATGGATACAGATATGGATATGGATACGGATATGGATGTGGATCTTTTGTTCATTGCACAGTACTGATGCAACAGCCCACAAAAGTACTGCAGGGCATTCCAGAGGGAATGTGTTAATGAACAGGCTTGCTTGGTACCGTGTGGGGCTTCAAAAGTGTGTGATAAACTACCTAAGTTAAAGCAGAGCTAATAACTGCTTCCCAAATACAGAGAAGGGAACATAGATAGTACCTGTTATTTCTGAGAAAGATTTAGGTAGAAGAGATGCTTTCAGATGTCTTTAATTGACAACCTGACAGTTTTAATGAAAAAAGAAATTGTATTTCCTTAAAATGTTCTGTTTGGGTGTTTCTGAAATGGTATTTCTTCCAAGGTCACAAGTGTCATACAGTCAATCTGCTATCCCAAACCTTCTCCATATAAGCACACATCCTCTAAAGATTTTCTCAAGTCTAAAACCTGAACCAACAGGGTGCACAAACACAGTGTATGTCCACATCCTTTCATTAATGAACCTTTGTCAATGCTCTGTGTAGATCTTTATGAAGCAGGGAACAGACTTTTTGTGCAGGGAACAAACAGACTGACATAAGATAATCGCAAAATTCGGGTTGGCAGGTACCTCATAGGTCTCTAGTCCAACCTCCTGCTCAGTGCAGGACCAGTGCTGAGGTCAGACAAGGTTACTCAGTAGTTTATCCAGCTGGGTTTTGAAAACCTCTGAGTCTTGAAGACCTCAGGCCAGGGGCAGCTCTCTGAACAGCCTGCACTGCTGTTTTGTACTGCTGTTAGACAGAAGTATTGGCAGATAAGATGCAAGGCAGATAAAATCTTGTTAAGCAGTGTTATAACTTTCATGCAGCATTAATCTGCTGCTTGAGAAACTGCAGGCACAGGTGAAAACTCTGAATATTCTCCTGAAGTAAGCTAAAGAATGGCAAGAGATAGGTCGCAGTTTGGATTATTAGCAGTGTTATCTTTTAAGTTACTTTTTTAGCCTTAGCTGAAAAAAAAAACCCGCTGGAATCTTGTACTTGTTTCTGGCTTCATTGCTTCCCCCCATTTTTACTATTTCTGAGGGAGAAATCCAGGTTGTTTTTAATTAGAAGCAAAGTATGAATCAGTGCCTCTAATCATTATTCAGAGATCTCAATATCCAATTCTCTTACAAAAATTGGCTCTTGCATCCACATTATTGACATAGTTGTGTGTTGTGCCAGTATCCAATTTGTTGTAGTTCTGGATATTGATATTATCCCACCTGAAATGAGAGTGAAAGAAACACATAAACAGAGGTGCTACTTCATTAGTAAATAAGCAAACAAACAAAAATCACAACTGAACTGCACTGCTTTAGTTTAGCCTCCCTTTACACCAGCATTGTTGGCCATAGTATTAACATTTCCAGCTCTTTTTGTCACAGAGGTATTCCTTTTGTGTTTAAAGTTCGTGAAGAAATCATAATTTCCTCATTTACGTCCGGACTTGGAGATCATTGTCCCCTTGCTGTATTTTGCTAATGTCTTCAGGTTTTACTGTTTCCTTGTGTGCATATTCCTTCATGCCTACCCACATTAATAACCTCAGATGTGTTACTACTGTAGTTGGACTAAAGGGACCCAACCATAGGGACTGCTTCAGGGTAATCAGTGTTTAAGAATATAACTATGTTTCCTCCGGAGAGAACCAGACATTTTCAAAATTAGTGGGTTCCTCCTTCAGAGTTGCCAGGATAGGCAACCAGGACACGTTGATTTGTAGATGGGTGGTAACACGAACAGAGGGACTGGGATGTGTTTAGTTTTCTTCAGTGATTGGTTTTACAGCATTATCGTGCTTGGCTTTACATGTGTGAAGTGTTTCAAAGCTGACAAAACTCTACCTTTGAGGTCCTGTTCCTTTGTCTAAGCTGGGAATTTTTTCTGAATTTATAAATCTGCATAAAATCTCTGTGTCTCATGGTAAGTACTCTTCAGTGTCCCATGACTTGTCAATCTTACAGTACTGTTTATCAGCCTGAAAGTGAGACAGCAGTATCAGCGTACCAGAAACCCCAACCCCACTACTTATTTATCCCACTATTTATCCAGAGATCTTCATTGCTTACAGGTTGCTTGTGTTCATTTTGATTCTTAATCTCACGATTTACCTCTTTTGTGACTGTATAGAGAGGAAGCAAGTGCAGCTCAAGGTGCAGGTAAAGCCAGCAGATGTGTGAAGGGCAGACTGTTGGGGCACTGAAGAATTCCTGCCTCACTTCCTTGTCTTTCAGAGCCTTAAAAAATCAACACAGCTGCTGTTGTAAAGGTGACAGTGTGCAGAAAGCAGCATGACTGCTGCTTCAGCGTTTCCAGGTGCGAGGTGCCTGCTCCTCTCCTCCCCAGCTGCATCAAGGGTGGGAAAATCTGTTTCCTCTAAGAATCTCCCCTGGATCTCTGCCCCAGTCCTCCTTCTTCTCCTCCCCTTATCCTCTTGTATGGGATAGTAAAGCACAAGTCTGAGGGGGCTGGAGCTGTTACAAAAGCAGATCCCAATGTGTATGACAAATGTTTAGGGATTTTATGGATAAGGATACAACTTGGCAAAAAAGTGAGGCACAAATGTAGGCATGAATAATGAAGCAAGATCCCCCACTAGCCAGGCCCCTGTGGTGCATAAAGTGTAATTAACCTGATGATGTGTAGCTGCAGCCTGCAGGCCTCCGTGCTCAGCTAAAAAAAGTGCTTTTTGAAACAAGACATTATCTAGATATAAAACAGGAACAGATAATCTGTTCATTCCCAAGGGAGTGCTGGGAAGCAATCAGTGGTTTCACAGTGCAAAAGCAGTCTGCTCATGCCCTGACACTCACTGGGGTCCTTCCCAGGTTCTGGCAGCTGACAATCTGGTCAGCATTGGCTTTAGTGTGGCCACAGAGTTGGCTGAAAAGGCTTAGTGGGTTGCCTTTCAACAGGGCCCCTGCTGCTCTTCTAACTCTGCTTCAGATGAAGGATGAGATTTGTGTTTTCAAGAAGGTTGACTATAACTGTACTAAACCAAATGTATTTCCAAGGTCACCCCAGCCATCCTTCAGCATTGCCCCAGCATGTGACTCTTGAAAAATAATACCAGCAATCAATCACAACTTTTGCAATGTTGGCATGGTATTTCTCCATGTTCCTTAAACCTTTTTCTGCAGTCTTCTCTTGAGGCACGAAATCCTACAACATGACATGCATGACATTGACATTGCCCATCATTGTTAAAATCCAAACCCAGTTTTTATAAGTCATTATGACTGAGCTGACATTTTGAATCCTTCTGACTCTATTTAGAGAGAAACAATGATACAATGGACTAATTTTGCTGAAGGGTAAGTGCCCTAGAAATCAATACATAGATAATATAAAAGACATTTTATTCAAATATAGAGGGCAGTT